CTTTATTTTTTGTTTTGATGTTTATTTGATTTTGGAGCCTGGGTTTTCTTCTCAGTGGGAGTTAAGGGTGGTAGGGAGGACAGATTCCTAAAAGAACAAAAGCTACATTAAGAAAAAAAGAAATTACTTTATATTTGCTTGCTTCTATACATGTTCTACCCTCTAGAAGAATATAGTTCCTCGAGGTCAGGAACTTTTATTTTGTTCCAGGCATAGTGTCTTGTACATACTAGGTGCTTAATAAGGACTTGTTTAATTTATTGGATTTATTTAATATTTAAATTTGACCCCTGTGCAACCAGAAGCCAAACAAGTCATTTTTTTGTTGTTGTTCAGTCTTGTCTGGCTCTCCGTGACTCCATTTGGACTTTTCTTGGCAAAGATACTGGAGTGGTTTGCCTTTTACTTCTCCAGCTCATTTTACATATGAGAAAACTGAGGCAAACAAGGTTAAGTGACTTGCCCAGGTTCACTCATCTAGTAAGTATCTAAGGCCAGATTTGAACTCAGGAAAATGAGTCTTCCTTACTCCTAAGTCTAGTGCTCTATCCACTGTGCCACCTCACTTTCCCCTACAAATTCTGACAAATTAGTCATACTCAGGTGCTTTGATGGCCTGGTTAGACACTTGGTGAGTAAGTTACCAGACTTCTTTGCAGCTGAGTCAGTGGCTCTGAAGTCCTGACAACTGCTGACTAACAGTGTACCGCAGGAAATTATCAATAAAACCATCTTGAATACTGTGACAATGATGATGAGAGTGATATGGCCCTAGAGAAAGGTTTCCAAGATGGTAGAGAAAAAAGGGCACCAAACAGAGAAGTGGACCTAGATTCTAATCCCAGTTTTGCCATTTAACTAGCTGAGTGACCCGGACCTCGGTTTCTTTCTCTATAAAAAGGGATTGAACTAAGCCATGTGTAAAGGTCCCCCAAGTCCTATGAGCCTTTGTTTCCCATCTCATGCTTTATAATCAGCAGGATGATCATTTCTGAGAATTTGTCACTTCCTTTACCATTAGCCTCAAGGCTTTTCATGGCCCCTCCCTTTCCCATCCTCATCCCATCTTCTATCATAGGATCATAAACTTAGAGTGATGATGGATTTCCAAGGCCCTTTAGTCCCAATAGTCCAACTCTCCTCTGATGAGGACTTGAGAGGTCAAGTCAGAGAAGTAGGTAGTAAGTAAGAAAGCTAGGATTGGAACCCAACTCCTTTGACTTTGAATCCAGTGTTCTTTCCACTGAGTTTTTGATAAATTGGACCCTCTAGCGCCCCACCCCCAATTAATTAATTAATTTGGGAAATTGCATTCTTTGTCCCCACTACTGCCTATCCCCTAGGACTTAAGATGATCCAGCCAACAAAAAACAGTGCAATTTATCCCCTTTACTTTTTCGAAAGAAATATACATTTATCACGAGAACAATACACTATGATCAGGTAGGATTTATATCAGGAAAGCAGGGCTGGTTCACTATTAGGAAAACTACCAATGTAATTGATCATATCAATGACAAAACCAACAGAAACCATATGATTATCTCAATAGATGCAGAACAAATTTTTAACAAAATACAACCCCCATTCCTATTAAAAATCCTGGGGGCAGCTAGGTGGCACAGTGGTCCTGGAATCAGGAGGACCTGAGTTCAAATCTGGCCTGAGACACTTACAGTTGACCCTTACTAGCTGTGTGACCCTGGACAAGTCACTTAACCCCACTGCCTAGCCAAAAAAAAAACACTAGAGAGCACAGGAATAAATGGAGTCTTTCTTAAAATGATAAGTAGCATCTACCCAAAACCATTAGCAAGCATCCTATATAATGGAGATAAGCTAGAAGCATTTCCAATAAAATCAAAGGTGAAATAAGGATGTCCATTTTTACCATTGTTACTCAGTATGGTACTAGAAACTTTAGCTTTAGTAATAAGAGAAGAAAAAGAAATTGAAGAAATTACAATAGGCAAAGGAGAAACGAAACTATCACTCTTTGCTGATGATATGATGATAGACTTAGAGAATCCTAGAGAATCAAGTAAAAAAACTACTTGAAATAATAAACAAATTTAGCAAAGTTGCAGGATACAAAATAAACTCACATAAATTGTCAACATTTCTATATATTACCAACAAAGCCCAACAGCAAGAGATAGAAAGATAAATTCCATTTAAAGTTACTATAGACATTATAAAATATTTGGGAGTCTATCCCGCCCAAACAAACCCAGGAACTATATGAACACAGTTAGAAAACACTTCTCACACAAATAAAGTCAGATCTAAATGATTGGAAAAACATTAGTTGCTCATGGGTGGGCCGAGCTAATATAATAAAAATGACAATTCTACCTAAATTAATTTATTTATTCAGTGCCATACCAATCAAACTACCAAAAAATTAGTTCATGAAACTAGAAAAAAATAACAAAATTCATCTGGAAGAACAAAAGGTTCAGAATATCAAAGGGATTAATGAAAGGAAATGCTAGGGAAGGTGGCTTAGCCATACCAGATCTTAAATTGTCTTATAAAGCAGCAGCCATCAAAACTACTCAGTACTGGCTAAGAAACAGAGTAGTGGAGCAGTGGAATAGGTTAGGTATGCAAGACACAGTAGTCAATGACTATAGTAATCTATTGTTTGATAAACCCAAAGACTCCAGCTTCTAGGGTAAGAACTCAGTATTTGACAAAAATTGCTGGGAAAACTGGAAAAAAGTATGGCAGAAACTAGGTATAGACCAACATCTTACACTGTATACCAAAATAAAGTCAAAATGGGTTCATGATTTAGATATAAAGGCTGATACTATAAGCAAACTGGGAGAGCAAGGAATAGTTTACCTGTCAGATATATGGAGAATGGAAGAACTGATAACCAAACAAGAGATAGAGAACATTATTAAATGCAAAATGGACAATTTTGATTACATTAAATTGAAAATTTTTTGCAAAAAAAAAAAGAAAAATTTTTGCACAAACAAAGCCAATGCAACCAAGATTAGGAGTGAAGAAGAAAACTGAGAAAAAAATTTTACAACCAGTATCTCTGATAAAGGTCTCATTTCTAAAATATGTAGAGAACTGAGTCAAATTTATAAGAATACAAGCCATTCCCCAGTTGATAAATGGTCAAAGGATACGAACAGGAAGTTTTCAGATGAAGAAATTAAAGCTATCTATAGTCATATAAAAATGCTCTAAATCACTATTGATTATCAAAATAACAAAGCAAATCAAAACAACTCTGAGGTACCACATCATACCTATCTGACTGGCTATCATGATAAAACAGGAAAATTATAAATGCTGGAGAAGATGTGGGAAAATTGGAACACTAATGCATTGTCAGTGGAGTTGTGAACTGATCCAACCATTTTGGAGAGCAGTTTGGAACTATGCGCAAAGGGCTATAAAAATGTGCATACATTTTGACCCAGTAATACCACTTCTAGGTCTATATCCCAAAGAGATTATAAAAGAGGGGAAAGGACCGACATGTACAAAAATATTTATAGCAGTTCTTTCTGTGGTGGCAAAAAATTGAAAATTGAGGGGATGCCCATCAGTTGGGGAATGGCTGAATAAGTTGTCATATATGAATGTAATGGAATACTACTGTGCTTTGAGAAATTATGAAGAGGCAGACTTCAGAAAAACCTGGAAAGGCTTGAATGAACTGATTGTAAGTGGAGTGAGCAGAACCAGGAGAACACTGTTCACAATAACAGCCACAATGTGTGATGACTAACTTTGATAGATTTAGCTCTTCTTAGCAATGCAAGGATCCAAGACAATTCCAAAGGACCCATGATGGAAAATACTGTCCACATTCAGAAAAAGAACCATGGAGTCTGAATGCAGATTGAAGCATATTATTTGCTGTCTCTATTTTTTCTTTTCTTTTCTTTTTTGTTTGTTTCTTCTTCCTTGTGGTTTCTCCTACTGGTTCTAATTCTTCTTTGCAATATGACTAATGTGAAAATAAGCTCAATATGAATGTATATGTAGAGCCTATATCAAATTGCATTCCGTGTTGGAGTGGGGGAGGGGAGAGATGGAGAGAGTATTTGGAACTCAAAATCTTATGGAAGTGAATGTTGAAAACTAAAAATAAATTAATTAATTTTTAAAAAAGAAACATACAGCAAAGCTGAAAAAATAGATTTGGGATAAAGTTGTGTAGGCTCTAAAAGCTACCCAGAGGAGCCTAAATTTCATCTTAGAGGCAACAGGGAAGCACCAGAGCTTACTGAGTAGCAAATGACTTGGCCAGACCTTCCCTTAAGAAAAATCACTTTGGAGCAGAATCAGGAGAACATTGTACAACAGTAACAGCAACACCATGTGATGATCATCTCTGACAGACTTAGCTTTTCTCGGCAATCTAAGACAATTCCAAAGGATGCATGATGGAAAATGCTATCCACATCCAGAGAAAGAACTATGAAGCCTAAATGCAGATCGAAGCATACTATTTCCTTTTTTTTCTCATGGCTTTTCCCTTTTGTTCTGATTCTTTCACAGCATGATTAATGTGGAAATATGTTTAATATGATTGTACATAGCCTATATCAGCTGGCTTGCCATCTTGGGGAGGGGGGAAAGGAGGGATGAGGGAGGAGGGGCAGGGAGGGAGAAAAAATTTGGAACTCAAAAGCTTATAAAAATGAATGTTGAAAACTATCTTTACATGTAATTGGAAAAAATAAAATACTATTAAGTGGAAAAAAATAAACTGGGATTTGTCAGTGGTGGAAAAAGAAAAGAAAAATCACTTTGGTAGCCATGTGGAGGATGCACTAGAGCTGGGAAAGACTTGAGGCAGGGAGCCTAACTTGGATGTCATTGAAATCATCTAGGAGAGAGGTGATGAGGGTCTGGACTGTGAGATTTCACACTAGCTGGCACACTCTGCCTCCTCAGGGCTTACTGGAACATTGAGATGAGGACCACAAATTTCATTATCTCGCTCTCTAGCATTTCCGGAAGTCACATGTAGACCCAGGCACCCACGAAGTTGCACATGAATTCCTTTCTTCTCCTCCCTCTGTTTCCTCTTTATCATCCTCCTCCCCTTTCTAGAAAGCCGTTTTTCCTCTAGTGCCCTAGACTAGCAGTTCAATAATGATACTGCCCTCTTCACGTTAGGTTTTCCTCTGTCCTGAGGTCTGGTACAGGGCAGATGAAGAAAGAAGTGAAACAAGGAGCTGGGCTTAAGAATCCCAGCGAAAGGATGGGGAACTGTCTCCGAAGAAGAAGATTCAGGTGAGTCCAGGCAGGCTCAGGGTCTGTCCCGTGGGGGAACTGGGCAGGGAGCAACAAGGCAGCTGCCGTACAGGAAGAAACTTTGCAGATAGAAAGGCTTTACAACTTTCCATCTGGGATGGTATGAGTTGGGGATGTGGGTAGCAGAAGGAAGCCACATAGCCTAAGACAGACTTGGGCTCCCAATACGGTTCCATGTGTGGCTGAAGAACAAAAGATTGAGAGATGGAAGACACCTTATAGACCATCGAATCCAGTTTCTTCATTTTACAGAAAAGAAACATGGGGTCCCTGAAGACCAGGTGGCTTAGCCTACATCACAGAGCTAGTAAGTGTCTGAGATGAGATTACCTGTGTTTGAACCCTGAATCTGATGTTTGTATGACCTTGGGAATGTCACATAACCTCCTTGGACAGCCGCAGGCTCCTCTTTTGTAAAATGATAGGACTGGACCAGCTGACCCCTGAGGTCTCTTCCAGCTCTAGACCTATTCCCTACGATCCAAGTCTCACTGTATCCATTGCAGCAGCTATGTGGCTTAGAGGATAGAGCACTGGAGTCGAGAAGACTCATCTTCCTGAGTTCAAGTCCAGTGTCAGCTACTTATTAGCTGTGTGACCCTGGGCAAGTCACTTTTTGCCTCAATTTCTTCAACTATAAAATGGGGATAATAATAGCACCTACTTCACAAGGTTGTTGTGAAAATCAAATGAGATAATACTTTTAAAGCACTTAGGACAGTGTCTGGCACGTAGTAGGCTCTACATAAATGCTTATTCCCTCCCCTGCCTCCCCCCCCACCCACCCCTACACACACACTCCAGAAGGTACTCATTTTCTGTGGGACAAACTCACTTAAGCCTTTTTGTCTCTCAGTTTTCTTTGTTGATGCTTAGGAATTGCTGTACGTCATTTGGATGCTTGAAAAGAATAAACCCATGACTATGAAACATTCTGACGTATATGAAAACAGAATGTGCCAATTTTTCTTTTTCTTTCACAAGTGATTTCACTAGAATAAAAAAATCCCTATGTAGAACCTCCATCCACATAGGCAGGTCAGCAACTCACTTGAAATTTATCATCTTAGAGCATGGGTTCACAGATGGGCCATGAATAGACTTTAAGGGGTCTCTGAACTTGGATGGGAAAAAAATTCATCTTTATTTTCGCTAACATCTTGTCTCCTTCATAATCCTATGTCTTTTGTTTTACGTGTTTAAAAATGTAATTCTGAGAAGGGGGTTAGAAGTTTCAACAGACTGCCATAGGGTTCTATAGTATAAAAAAGGTGAGGATCCCTTGGTCTCAGAAAATTAGTTGCTTAGGAGACCGAGAAGTTTAGTGCAACTGGGGGGCAAGAGCAGAAGGCATTGGGAAGGTGGAGTGGGGTGGAGCATCACACAGATTTGTATCAGAGGCAAGACATAGAATGCCTACAGCACGTCTTGTGCCATACTAAGGATCGGGGGATACAAAAACAAAAATAAAAGAAGTCTTTTTCTAAAGTTGCTTTCATTCTATTTGGAGATCACACACACACACACACACACACACACACACACACACACACACACGCATGCACATACGTATGTGTGTGTATGTATGCACTGCAAAAGCTTTAGTACTTTGGGAAGTCTTAAGTTACTAAAACTTAATCTCTGCCACTGCCAGAGAACTTCAAGTTTAGCTTCTCTCTCTGAGGGTGAACAGAATGAGTGATGTTTCTACCCAGACACCCCCTTTTGGTGTTTGGGAGTTGAGAAAAGAAGGGTGAGGAGTAGTTCGGGGTACAGTCCAGGGCACTGAATGAGAGCTGTGTGCTTAGGAACAGTAGAGCTGCTGGAGGAACTGTTACGGTTCCAAATTTAATTAGATATCACCAGTATAGGTTTCTGGAAGAGGAGGTGAACTCACAAGAGTTCTTTCTCCAAAGTTTTGTTTTTGTTTTTTAAGTTGGCAAAAGGAAGTGGCTGGGGAGGAGCTTGAAATTATTGACCAAAACAACTGGGGACCCTGTGGGAGAACATCTGTCTCTAGTTCCTCTGAGGTCTAAGTGTCAGCAGCGAAATGATGAAAGATAGTTGGGAGACATAGATCAGAGAAGGAAGAATGGGACTAATTAAAAAGTCAGGGCTGGGAGATCCCTGGAAAGCCACATTATTGCAGGACAAAGCAAAGAAGTGATCATTTTCTCTTGAAATTCACAGCTTTTCCAGTATAGCGCTTTAGGCAAAGAATCAGCTGTTCTCTCTGCAACATTCTGCCCAATTAAAAAAAAAGAAAAAGAAGGAAAATATAATACACAGAAACCCAGTTTAAACATAGGAAATGTGTTTTTTAAATAAGACTTTTACCATCCTCAAGGGGTTTTCTGTCCTTCCCAGAATTCCATGTGTTGCCTTTATCTCAGTATTATTTTTGAAAAAAGGTAGGTCCCATGAGGCAGAATTTTGCATCTTTATTTTCTTCTAGCTAGACACTGCCCCTTCAAGCAGAGGTGGGTAGCCAAGGAAACTTTCTTCCTGAACTGGGTTTGGTTTCCAGCTCTGCTACTTAATCGCTGTGTGAACCAGGCTATGTGTGTCTCCACTTCTCTGGGTCTCCCCTTCCTTATCTGTAAAATGAGGATAAGACCTGTATTGCTTGCTTCACAGCTTTTTGAAGAATCAAATGAGATGATAAATGGAAAACAATTTGTAAATTGTAAAGCACTACATAAATGCAAGCTATTATTACCATTCTTCCCTAAATGGGAAGGTGACTTGATACAATTCAACATTCATTAAAATCTGATTATAAGCCAGGCACTGGTCTAGGCTGGGGACAAAAAGATAAAGATGGCATAGTTCTTGTCTTCAAGGAGTTTATATTGTCTTTGAGGGATAAAGGAAGTACACACATAAGTTAAACATAAAACGTGCAACATAAATACAAAGTTTATCAGTTATAAAGAGGGCTTGGGTATGTAATATGGCACTAACCCTAATTCATCTCAACTTGTATTCATGTTGGCAAGTCTGGGAATTTTCCCAGAAAGGGGGCCAGCCATAGCTGCTACAATGCTACAAGTTGCTCTTAAAACCATAGGGGTAACCCTGGGGTGGGGGAAAACACATCTACGCTCATCAATGCTAACTACTGAGCTCCCATTAATATACTTTCCACTTATACAAATCAGTCACGATGACATCATTAATTCAAGCATAAAACATTTGCTAAACAAAAAAACAAAAGCAAGAATAATACTCAACAGAAGTAACAGAAGTAAATCAAAACATGAGTCCTCCTACAAACCTGGGCCATATAATCCCACCAGTGGACAAGGGTTTTTGTTATTATTTTGTTTTGCTTTTAATTTGATGAGGAGAGGTAGAGTTGGTACTCACTTAGAAAAACCTGGCAGTGAGGAACATGAGTAGGAAAACCGATGTGTTTTAGACAACTCTTACCTCTGGACTTCAAGCCTGTGGTCTCTTTAAGGAGCTGTCTAGCTGCATGTCACCTACTTCTCTTCTGATCCTCTCTGCTCCGTTATTATTCTCAGGCTACTGAAACAGTGAAAAGCTCTTTCAGCTAGTTGCAGCTTTAAGCCTGGCATCTGCAGAGCTTCCCAGGTGCTTGTCCCTTTAGCTAGTGTGACACTCTTTCTGTGAAAAGCATTCATCTTTGATACTGGAATCTGTAAAGCTGTTTGGGTTTTGTTTTCCATTAGTTTTGAAGGCTTTCCCCTCTCCAGGGCAATAAAAGGCAAAAGAAGCATGCCTTTGAGGGGGTTTGTCCTCATGCTGTAGCTGTCACATGACAGCATGGAAGCTAGCTCTTCGTCCACAGCAGAAGATTCTCCTTTCCATACATCAGCTCTTTCAGACAGAGGAGCTTTCTTCCAAACAGATCAGCTCCTCATATAAACAGCAGACCCTCTAGTTAGCTGGGCTCTGCTTCCAACAACCTCTCAGCTTCAATAACTTCTGAGCTCTGTCTTTTCAACCTTCTGATGCTTCAACTTTTCTCATCAACTTCTCTCGTTAGTATCTCTTATCCTTTATTAAGCTTCTTCGGCTGCTGATTCCTGATTGGCCTCAAATCAGAACTGCTTAATATTCTTGTAATCCATATCTCATGGTCAGCTGAGTGGCACAACGGATAGAGTGAGGGACCTAGAGTCAGGAAGAACCTGGGCAAGGCTTAGGACAATTAAGGTTGCTTGGGCTGCTAGGTGGTGCAGTGGACAAGAGAGCTGGGCCTGGAGTTAGGAAGATTCATCTTCCTGAGTTCAAATCTGGCCTCAGACACTAGCTGTGTGACCCTGAGCAAGTCAATTAACCCTGTTTGCCTCAGTCTTCTCATCTGTAAAATAGGCTGGAGAAGGAAATGGCAAAATACTCCAGTATCTTGGGGTCATGAAGAGTCGGACGCAACTAAAAAAATGACACAGCCACAATCTCTTTCTTTCTCTCACACACACACATATACACATACACATAAACATGCACACATTCTTCAGTGAATACCTACAGATAATAATGGTGGTGATACACACAAAATATTTGTAATTTGATCACTATTACAGAATATGAATTGATATGAATTGATATGAATTGACCACCTCAGAAAGGTACCTTAGTACTCCTTAACTGGGGGTACTCCTAGACATAGACCTAAGAGGAAGCTTAGATGTTATCTTCTTCAACTCCCTCCTTTTACAAATGGGGAAACCATGGCCCATAAACATTGGGTGATTTGTCCAAGGGTACACAGACAGTAAATAAAAGAGGCAGGATTTGAACCCAGGTTGCCTCTGATTCCAGCTTAAGAACACTTTGCTTTACTATACTTTCTCAGAAGAAGGGTTTTCTCTCTAGAGATGCATTTGATTTGTGATTCATAAATAGGAAAGAAATTGGATATTTTGGTTTGGGGGGTTGTTTGTTTCTTCTTCTGTTTTGTTCTGGTTCAAGAGCTCCAAATGTAAATCCCACCTGAGGAGTTTTTTTGTTTTGTTTTGTTTCGTATTGTTTTTCTTCAAAGATCACACTAGAAGAAGGGCGGAGAAAGCTCCTTCCCTGGTTACTTGAGTCCTGTGGGCTAACATTGACCCTGCTTCATCGCTACCAGAGAATCTCCCCAGGGGTCCCTGCAAAAGTGAAGGGTCCAACTTTATCCCAGACAAGGCCCTGCATGTAACACTGTGGAGCTTTTGCAAGGAGAACATTTACTGCAAAAAGTATAGTCACAAATATACACATTTACCTCCCTGCTGGCACCACCTCAGTCTCTGGGGAGGGGATAGCTTACTTTGGTGCCCAGAGAGCACAGTCCCAGTTTCAAGTCCCCGGAGGCCTGGCTTTTCAGGGCTTCTATGGGGATCTGTCCGGCTGTACCACCTGCCTGCAGTCTGGCCCTAAGGTTGGCATGCCTCAAGCTCCCTATCCAACTGGATTACCACCCATCCCTGAAACTGAGGACAAATAGCAAAGAATAGAAACTAACATCTCTAGGACCATTTTTCAGAGCCGCAGGTATAAAAGGGAGGGGGAAGGATTTTCCTTTTCCTCCCCGGGCTTCAGCTCACAGCATCCAATATGAATCACTGGAAAAGAGCAAACTCAAAAAGATGGTGGAAAAAAGAGTTAATGGCTCAGTCTTTCCATTTTTAAAGATTCAGGCAGCCAATCAAAGGAAGCCACCCCTGCCCACAAGATAGGAGATAAAGAGTGCTCTGTCTTAGCCTGAGTTACACTTGGAACAAAGTCAGAGAGTCTCATTGGACTGCAATCCATTCTGCAGTCCTGCACTGAAGCAAACAGGGTGGGATTTATTAAGGTTTTGGTCTTTGGAATAGAGAGGAAGGCACTTTGCAAGGTTTAATGGATAAACTTCTGGACTTCACATCAGAGAGACCTAGGTTCTAAGTCATTTAATCTGTGTGTATCTCAGTTTCCTTATCTGTAAAATAGAAATAATAATAGCATCTGCCGAACAAGGCTGTGAAGATTGATCACATGAAATAATCTCATGGCAAACCTAGAGTTGGGAGGGACCTCAGAGGACATCTTGTCCCATGTCTGCATTTCACAGGTGAGAAAACTAAGGCCCAAAGAGGTTAAATGGCTTGTAATTTGTTACATTGAAAGATTTTAGTAGGGCTTGTGGGACAAAAACCAGAGTCAAGTTGGGACGACCCCAGAGCCCAACTGGAGGACGTAGAGGACAGGTTTGCTGCTGCTGAGGGCATCAATAAAAGACTAGGAGATTGGGACAGCTAGGTGGTGCAGTGGATAGAATACCAGACCTGAAGTCAGGAGGACCCAAGTTCAAATCCAGCCTCAGACATTTATTAGTTGTGTGACCCTGGGTAAGTCACCGTTAACCCTAGCTGCCTCAAAAATAAAAATTAGTGTGGGAGAGTGTAAAGAGGTGGGAAGGAGCGCTGAACCTGGTGTGTTTTATTGTAGCTGGCCAAAGGACACTCAAGAGGAACACAGGAAGCCAAGAACTGGAACCCTAGAACAGAAAAAGTTCAGGTGAGAAACAAACTGAGCAGTATTTGTTACCAAATTGAATGTCATGTTATAGAGCCAAAGTCTTGGGGCCCATTAATTCAAAGAATCCCTATGGAGGAGGCGTGGACTCCCTACCTCAAGTCTTTCCTCTCTCCAGTCCTTCCTTTACATAATTGTGAAACTAATACCTAAAGCACAGGCCTAGCCACTCACCAGCTCCCTATTGCCTACAGGATGGAATACTAAAGCCTTCATTTGGCATTTAAATCCTTTCCCAATCTAACTTCGGCTTACCCTTTCCTGATTCATCACACCTTCCTCCTCTTTAGGAACTCTCCTGGCTAGACAAGTTGGCCCTCTTGGTATTCCTGGAACGAGACATTGCATCTTCTGTGTTCTTGCCTCTGCACAGCCTGTGCCCCGTGCCTAGAATGCCCTCCTTCCTCTGCAGCTCTTAGAATCCCTGGATTTCTTTTTTTTTGGGGGGGGCAATTAGGGTTAAGTGACTTGCCCACGGTCACACAGCTGTAAGTGTCAAGAGACCAGATTTGAACTCAGGTCCTCCTGACTCCAGGGCCGGTGCTCTACCCACTGTGCCACCTACCTGTTCCCCTCCTCTCCCCAATTCCTTTGAAGCTGAGCTCAAGCGCCACTTTTTACATGAAGCCCTTTCTGATGCCTCACCCCCAACCAGTAGGCTAGTACCTAGATGGGCCTACAGTCAGGAAGATCTGAGTTCAAATCTAACCTCAGACACTTACTAGCTGTGTGACCCTGGGCAAGTCACTTAGCTACTGTTGATCTCAGTTTCCTCAATTGTAAAATAGAGATAATTGGCTATATATGTAACAAATATTATGTATTTGTTTATTATATCACAAAATGATAGTTTGTTGTAAGGATCAAATGAGATAATATTTATAAAGCGCTTAACACAGTGACTAGCATATAGTAAGTGCTTAATAAATGCTTATTCCTTTCTTCTCTTTTCCCCAAATTATCTCATATTTTCTCTCTACATTTTGTATCTACTTATGTGTTTTCTCCCCTAATTGCTTTGTTTTGTCTTTTCATTCCCCAATATACCATTTTTATCATATAGTAAGTGTTTAAGAAAAGGTTATTGATAATTGATTGTCCCCTTTGGACTCAGAAGTCACCTTCAAACAGTGACCAGCTAAAGACAAGGGAGAAAGCAAGAGAGATCTCATGTGCTTTGAGTGCTCTTCTCCTGCCAGGACCAAGTTGAACAGAAACACACACAATTAGACCAAGACACTTTAAATCTGTTGCTATTTTGCACACTCATTTCACATATCTTTGTACCCAATCTCGTCGTCAATCATTTCATCTGTAGCTCTTGGTTTCTGTTTTTTGAGGTGGCCACTTCCTTTCCCTCCTGCTTCACTGATACTATTTTGAGGTTTGTGGGAAGGGGCCTCTGATGTCAGTTACTCTGAATTGGACCAAACTCTTTCCATCCACCCCTTTCATAGTGGCCTGCATCTGAAATGCCAGAGGAGAATGGGACAACCTCCGAAGACAATACAGTCTTTGCTGACGATAGAGTCTATGGAGCAGCTTTTGCTGGTTGCTTTTTTTTAAAAAAGGAGGTGAAGGAAGAAAGGGCAATGAATCAAACATCCACAGACATTTAGCAAGCACAAATGTATGCATGGTGAGGGTTAGCCTAACAGTTTACAGACTCCCCAGGAAGATAGAACCTGTCACAGAATCAGCATTTCAGAGTTGCTAGGGACCTAGGGACCATCTAATCCAACCAATACCTGAAAAAGGATTTTCTTTACATACTTAGAGGTCATTGAGGCTTTTAAAAAGACCTACAGAGTCGCCAACACTTTCTGAGGAAGTCTACGCCACTGTTTAGACAACTGTAATTGTTCAGAGGGCTTCCTTACATGGAACCTAACCTGCTTCTACATACCATCTACTTTTTGCTCCTTAATTCTTCCTCTGGGGCCAAGTGAAGGGAGACTAATTCCTCTTCCGTATGACAATTATTCAAATGCTTTACAGGGTTGCAGTAAGAATTGAATGGGGTAATATATGTAAAGTGCTTTGCAAACATTAAACCAACTTATAAATGTTAGCTGTTATTATATGGGACCACTGGTGGATATAGTGCTGGGCTTGTAATCAAGAAGACTTGAGTTCAAATCCTGATTCAGACACTTACTAGCTGTGTCACCCTGGGTGAGTGACTTAACCTTGTTTGCCTCGGTTCCTCATTAATAAAATGAGCTGGAGAAAGAAATGGCAAACCACTCCAGTATCTTTGCCAAGAAAACCCCCAAAATGGGGTCACAAAAAGTCAGACATGATTGAGACAACTGAGTAACAATGAAAGAAAAGTCAACTTCTTCCCCTGGGCTCACTTAACTGACTCTAGCCCCTGGGGGGCGAATGCGGTATCAAGGTAACTACTGTTTGGTGAGTAATGCTCATGCAAATCCTCTATGTAGCAGGTAGTTATATAGTTATATGTCTACAAACTTTCCCACTTACTACTGGAAAAAAAAAACGGGTCTCAATTTTCTCATTTGTAAAATTAGAGAGTTGAATTAGATCACTTCCATGGCCCCTGGTTCTGCCTCTAAATCCATGTGTGATTCAGACCCCAGGTTGGGACTAAAGCCCCTAGCTCTGTCCAATAAGAGCCAGTAATCTCAAAGTAGTAAAGACCCTTCAATATCCCAGGGCCACCGTGGATTTGAACATCCCCTTCTAGGTTGGTTAATACAGTCTAACAAAAGAGGACATTCTTATGTATGTACAGCCATCTACTCTGCTTATCTGGAATGATTTCAGAGACCTAGAAAGAACTCTCCCCAAACACACACATAAAAAAACATATTTTTCATATACCAGATACCTGAAATTCCTGATTAAAATAAACCCTTTTATTCTGTAAATGGACAAAGCAAGCTTGAAATACAAATATAGTTGGAATACTAGCTCATTTGCTTAAATTCACTCTGAGGTATAAATGGTACATAATGTGTAGGTTCTTAAATGAGGACAAAAGAAATTCTTGAAGAGGAGATGTGGAAGAGCCACCATAGAGGACCTTAGAATCATAGATGCAGAGCTGGAAGGGACCTCTGAAGAAATTAGTCTAATTTATTCATTTTAAAAATGAAGAAAGCAGATCCCAGGGAGGTCAAGTGACTTTTCTCTTGTCATCAATTCAACAAGCATTTATTAAGCTCTTCCTATGTGCCAGGCACTGGAAATGCAAATACAGGCAAGAAGAAAGTTTCTGCCTTCAAGAACCTTACATTCTAATGTGAAAGACAACAGAGAAGAAAAGTAAGGGGTGGGGAGAAAATGCCCACTGGGACACGATAGAGAAAGTACATGGAGTAAGGACATCCAAAAGTGAAGTTCAAGAGTAATGAAGACATGGCTCTCCTAAGCATCCTTCACCCTTGTTGTGGTAAAAGACTAGTAGAATTTGTAGGGGGCAGCTAGGCGGCACAATGGATACAGCACTGGGCCTGCAGTCAGGGAGATTCATCTTCCTGAGTTCAAATCTAGCCTCAGACACTTACTAGCAATGTGACTCTGGGCAAGTCACTTAACCTCGTTTACCTCAGTTTCCTTATCTGTCAAATGAGCTAGAGAAGGAAATGACAAACCACTTTGGTATCTTTGCCAAGAAAATCCCAAATGGCGTCATGAAGAGTCACACATGACTGAAATGGCTGAACAAGAATTTGTAGGACAAAAGGAGACAAGTTTGTGTGGCTCCAGAACCCAACTGAAGGACAAATAAGGCCCTCCTGCTTCTGATAGTGTTGAAGAGTTCTATAAGAAGCTGGGAGCAGTGAAGGAATTATGAAGGAGCATAAGACAAGTTTAATATTAAAGAACAAAATGCACTTCTGGTATGTTTCACTGCAGATGGCCCGGGTCCCACAGAGTCTATGGAACAAGTATTTAATCTTGAAGAATAAGTGAAAGAGGTAGGAGGGTGATTCCAGATCACCTGACTCCCTGGCATGTCCTTTCTTCTAAACCACAATACATACGAAGAGAGATGCTGGAGAACTCAAGGGCAAATTTTGCATCTTTCACATTTTTTTTTCCCTTCTCTGTAAGGAAAAGGTTATCTTAAGTATCATTATGCGAGGGTGAGTTTGGGGATTCTGCTTTATGTCTGTTAAACCATAATGGTGACGCTAATAACATAACAATATAATTATATAAATATAAGTAAATAATAAAAGCACCTATCTCTCAAAGTGCTTGTGAAGGTAAAATGAGATATTTGTAAAGCACTTAGCTTTAGTGTGCCATACTAGGCACAATATAAATTATTATTATTATTATTATTTTATCAGTGGAAATTTTAGGCCAGGAAGGAGAGTTTTGCAACCCCAAGCTGAATGAATTGAGGAAGATATTTTTAGATGGTTGACAAGCTTTTTTGGCCCCTCAGCCCACATAGAAATGGCTAGCCACTTTGTCCACCAAAAATCCTGGCCCTAGAGGATAACAAAACTTTCAATTTAGGAAAGAAATTGAATAGTGTATGTAGTAACCTGACTAGTTGAGCTCTGCTAGAAGCTGGCAAAACAAAGACAAAAAGGAAATGGCCCCTTCCCTAAGGAATTTGACTTCTATAGGAAAAGTTTGTAGATTATCAGAATAATGGTGATGATGATGATGATGATGATGATGATGATGATGATGATGATGATAATTAATGTTTACCTAATGCTTTAAAGAGGCAGCAGAATATAAGGAGTAGAGAGCCAGCCTTGTAGCCAGGAATATCTGGGTTTAAGTCCTATCTTTAACACAACCTGGCTGTGTGATCCTAGTCAAGTCTCTTAACTTCTCAGCATTCTAACAAACTTTCTAAGACTCTAAGTCAAAGAAAAAGTGCTGACATGTTTTGGAAGAAAGTTTCTTCATCTGGCAGTTCACTGTTCTAGTGGAATCCAAGTCCAGGCCCTATCCATGTTTCAATGCCTTAAAAGTTTGTGAAACACGTTATTTCAATTGATGAAATCTTGTAACGTAAGCAATACAGCTATCCTCATTTCACAGATAGAGAAACAGAAGCTCCAAGAGGTAAGCTCACACACACACACACACACACACACACACACACACACACACAGAGTCCCATGGATAATAAGGTAGCATGCAAAGCCAGTTCATCTTGATTTCAAGTAGTGTTCTTTGTCCTCTCTACCATCTTGCCTCCAATGTGAAATCCATTCCATGACTTGACTTTTGCTCTGTTTGAGGGCCATGGACTCATTAATGCAGCTAGAGCTTTGGATATATTAAACAGATTGGATCCGATCTCTTACTATCATTATAAGAACCTTTTCAGATGTAGCAAATGTTGAGTTTTTCTTTCTTTTCGTACAAATAATACAAATATATATTTAGACAAATAAAATAAATAATTGTTTCTTTTCTTTTTAGGCAAGTAATAAAGAGAAGGAAGAAAGAGTTCCATGAGGAAAGTAAGTTCTTAATTCCTTTTTTGTAATATTGATACATTTCTTTTATAAAGATTAAATTAGCCTTTTTGGTGGTTCTTCCTATTGGTTCTAATTCTTACTTACAACATCACTAATGTAAAAATGTGTTTAATAGGAATGTATATGTATAGCCTATATCAGATTGTGCTCCATCTTGTGGAGGGAGATGGAAAGAGAGAGGGAGAAAAATTTAAAACTCAAAAGCTCATGGAAGTGATTGTTGATAATTCAAAATAAATTAATTTTAAAAAGATTAAATTGATAAAGGACAAATGTAAAATCCTACACATGGATCACAAAATTGACTAAATTAGTACATGATATGTCCAGACAAGCACTCAAATGCAAAAGATCTGTAGTTTTAGAGAAATTTGAGCTAAATATGAGTTAACAATCCTAAATTGCTCATCTGAACTTAGGCTACGTTTATAGAATATTTTCTAGGGCTAAGAAAGTACTCAGCACTCATCCCTGATCACACATCTGAAGCATTGTGATAAAAAAATTTAGGCATCATATTTTGTAAAGTATTTTGATAAATTAGAGTGTTTTCAAAAGAAGGTAACTAGGATGGTGAGGGGATAACAGACCATCAGAGGAGAAATTAAAGGACCTGGGAATATTTATCCTGGAAAAGTATTATGGGGGATGATGATGATGATGGTCAAAACTACAGAGATACTGACCTTTGAATAAATACAAAGAAAAACTTCTTAATAATTAGTGCTATCCAAAAATGAAATAGGTTGCCTCAGGTAGAAATATAGCTATCACTAGAGATCACCAAATAGATATTGGATGAGCACTTGTCAGGGATCTATCTATCTATCTATCTATCTATCTATCTATCTCCTTGCGATATATATAGATAGATAGATATAGATATATATATAGATATATATATATCTATATATATATCTATATATATAGATAGATAGATAGATAGATAGATATAGATATAGATATATATATAGATATATATCTATATCTATATCTATCTATCTATCTATCTATCTATCTATATATATATATAGATATATATATAGATATATATATCTATATATATATCTATATCTATCTATCTATCTATCTATCTATCTATCTCCTTGCGATATATATAGATAGATAGATAGATAGATAGATAGATAGATATAGATATATATATAGATATATCTATATATATATCTATATATATATCTATATATATATCTATATCTATCTATGTATATAAATATATATAACCTTTTCTTCTCATAAAAGAGCTCTGTAGGTAAGTAATGGACTAAATGACCTCTGAGTCCATTCCAGTGAGGAGATTTTGATTTTAAATTTCTAAGCCAGCTGAACCGTCCTGGTGTGTATCTGCATGTAGAAGGAGTTTGAAGGAACCTATTTTAGGTGCTAAGGAGAAGGTGGAATAGATCTTCAAATTAAAAAAAAAAAAAGATGCATTTGAGGGCAACGATGGAGAAAAAGGAGTATAATTGATCTTTGAGTCATCTGCATGGAGATGACAATTAAAATCATGAGAGTTGATAAAAGCATAGAGAAAGAACATGTATAGAGAAAAAAAGAGTTCTCAGTAAGGAGTCTTGGCATACATCTACAATTAAGGGGACATAATATTGATGACTCAGCAAAGTTGTCTGAGGTGTGGTTGGATAAGTAGGAGGAAAACTAAGAGAGAACAGTTTCACAAAATCCCAGAAAGGAGAGAGAATCTAGGAAGAAAAGGTGACCAACATTGTGAAATACAACAAAGAGGTCAAGAAGAATGAGGACTTTAAAAAAAGATCATTAGATTTGTCAGTTAAGAGGTCACTGATCACTTTGGAAAGAGCCAGTTCAGATGAATGATGATGCTGGAAGCCATACTGGAAAATGTTATACCATAAATTCATCACTTTGATCCACCACACATGCTCCTCACTTTTTCCTGACATCATAAAGGTACTTGTGGAATACTCTGGCTGTCCATCTACCATCATCCCTCATCCTCACCATGTGGCTAATCCATCTTGTCTTCCTCTTGTAACCCTGGTATGGCTAGCGTGGCTAAAATTCAAACCCAAGTCTTTTTACTTTAGAACCAGTATTCTTTCCACTATATGATCTATTAACTATGTGACATTGAATGTGTCATTTAACCTGAGTCTCAGTTTCCTCATCACAACTATATTAATATCAACTAAATCAATACTGTTATTACACTATGCTGCCTATAATTCTACTAAATGAAGTTTTTTCTTACAGATTCAGTTGGTATATATTTATGCTTGTATTTATATTTATGCATATGTGAATAACATGAATATGAATTCGTATATAGTAAAAAATACATATTTAATGTGTGAATATATTTATGTATATAATATGTGAATATATGTGTATAACTCAAGTTGTTCTTCAGGCCTGCATTGCCAATTGCCTATTGGACATTTTTAATTGGGTATACTACAGGCATCTAAAAATCAAAGTATCAAATAGAACTCATTATCCTTCCTCCCAACCATACCTCACCATCCCTAAACTCTCTGTCTTGAAGACAGCACAGTTCTTCTGGACTTCTAAGTTCAAAACCTCAGTGTTAACCTCAACAACTCCTTCTTTCTCACATCACATATGCAATCAATTGCCAAATTCTGTCATTTTCATTCTGAAGAATCTCTTACATCAGAGTTCTTCCTTCTCTTCACATACATACCTGATTAGCTCAAGCCCTCATCAACTCTTGACCAACTAAGAGGAACTGGTCTCTTAACTGGCCTTCCTACCTTAATCAAATTAATTCTTCACATGGATGCCAAAGTGATTTTTCTTAAGCTCAGATCTAACTATGTCACTAAGTCAATTCTGCTTCATTTAAATCCAATTCACGAATGAGTCAAGACACATCCCATGATGTCATTGGTGCTCTTTGAAAATGAAGGACAAACAACAACAACTGTGTCACTCTTTTACTCAATAAATTCTACTGGCCCCCTATTGTCTCTACAGTAAAATATAAATCCATTTTCTTCCTCCTCCTTCTCCTCCTCTTCTTCTTCTTCTTCTTCTTCTGTTCTCTACAGCATTTAGGGAGAGGGTTCTTCATTTTAATTTTTTTTCAGTTAACAAAAATATTTTTTCTCTTCCTCTCCCCATTGGACAAAAAGAATCTCATAACAAATATGCATAGCCAAGCAAAATAAATTACCAAGTTGGTCATGTCCAAAAAGTATTTCATCTGTTTGGTTTTTCAAATGCTTCACAATTTTCTCTAACTTATATTTCAAAACTTATTATACATTCTTCTCTTTCCTACATTCCATAGTCCAACTAAACTGGACTTCTTTACATTCCTTATATACAGTGCTCCACGTCTTGTATCCACGAAATTGTCCTGCCTGTACACCATGCCTAGAATGAACGAATGAATGATGAATGAATGAACACATATTATATGCAATGCACTGGGCTAAGGGCTGGAGATAGAGATAAGCAAGACAGTTCTTTGTGCTCCCAAGGAGCGCACATTCTAATAGGGAAAGCAACACAGATAGGAGGTTTCTTCTTTAAATTAGATGGAAAGGCTCTATTGTTCTTAGGGTACAGAAGCCAAATTTATGTTAACACATTTTTGTTAAACATCATTTCCATTGATAAGACCATATCTTCTCCTGATGTTGAATCATTTTATGGTGCCAAGGGCTATATTACTATGTAAAACTTCCTTTTCCAAGTCTTCATAGATGCCTCTGCTGTGGAGATAGGAACTAAAGCACCAGCAGAGAGGCATCAGATAGGTCACATTTCCACAGAGGTTGCATCTTGGGATAATACTATCTGAGCCAGGACAGAAATGGAACTGGTGGTCTTGGGGTGCAGTTATTCCTAGTCCTTCTAGGTTCTGGGTACCAGGTTGAATTAGACAGGATAGGCAGACATGTCTGGTTTGTGATCTACATTGCACAGACAAGATCACAGATCCATTAAAGTATTTGGATTTGTAGCAATGATTCCTTCCTTATCTCTTTCTTTCCTTTTTATTCTAGATTTTTTTTGTGGTTATTCATAAGTTCTTTATTTTACTCTGGACAATAATAAAATCTTTCTTTTTTTTCTCTTGTAACTAAAAATTACCCATCTCACCCCAACTGCAATATATTCTATTGGCTCACCACATTTTGTAAAATTATTTAGTTTATCAGAAGACATACAATTTTTCTTATTTCATTAGTACTAATCTCATCCCAGCCATAACACACACACAACATATACTCTTTACCCATTTCACCCTCTTTGCTCTGCTCTTTCCTTTCCTCCTTCTTTTCCTGTTCAAGTTTGTCTGTGTCATTCAATTATTTATTGAAACAACATGATTATTTTGGGTAATTTGTCGGACATGTTTCTTTTCTTCTTCTTCTTCTGTTTCTGATATTATGTACTCTAGGAAAATACTTCTGATTTTCACTAAGTCTATTGTTCTATTTATATTTCTTCCAAGGTGTTTCTTAACTACTATTTCATTATAATTTTTAATTCTTAGCACAGTGGCTGGTACATCATAGATTCTTAATAAGTATTTATTGATGGAATATTTATTGATTCTCCCTAGAATTTCTTATGAATACCCAGTTCTTTATTACATCTTATGATTTTTTTGGCTAATTTCATTTCTTCTTTTTTTTTTACATCAAGGTATTTATTATCTACTCTACTGTATCTTTAGAAAATTCTAATATTTTAGTTCTGATATTTCTGTGGTTTTTCTATGATATTTTTGTTCCAGCATTTTTGTCTCTTTTAATCCATCATTGTGTCAAAAAGCTTTTGTCTGTTAATTTTTTTAGTTTTTCTAAAAGTAGACTTCTTTTAGGGGTTTCTGCTAATTTTAGTTCTTTGGAATTCTACTCCTGCCTTTTGAGAGTGATACTCAGTAGCTATTCTGTCTTGTAACTTAAGTCTATTGTACTCCTTAAAATTCCATCTTTATTTTATATATCCTGGTAGCACAGTATTCTACACATGACAAAGAATTAATGTTTTTTTGATTTTAGTTTGGTGCCATTTAATTAAATTCATATCAACGAAAGATTGCTTTAAAGAGTATATGGCATTTTCCCACTAGTCCATGGAGATACTTCAGTTATTCAAGGGAGTAAGTAGTAGTGTTTGGCTACTCTGAAGACCATCTGCTAGTCTGGCATCTTGTGGCATTGTAAAGGCTGTCTACTAATTCAAAATCATGGTATCCTTACCTTGCCTTTATGTGTAATCCATAAAAAAAGGGGGGGGCTTTATTTGGTTCTTTATTGGATTTATTTATCCCTTATCTGATTATGTTATTACTCGATCACTGATATAAGATGAAAATAATTTTTCAAATTGGGCAGGTTAGAAAGTTCTTCATTGCCCTTCATATGTCCTTCCCCTCCCCCAATTTCTACCACTGGCATAAGGGGTTTGAAGTAATTCCCCAAATAGATCATTTGTATCTTCATCACTACATGTGCTATGCCGAGTATTAGAAACCACACCACAAATGGCTTTTAAGTAACCATATCTAACAATTGATGTCACTGGTATGGTTTGGTGTCAAACTCTAGCCACAATGCCAAACTACATCTTTAACCCTATCATTTGATGAAAAAAAAATTTCTTTCTGCTACAGTAGTATCAGAATCCTATAAACACTATATAATATAGATATATATCTATGTATAATTCTATAAATTCCTGAATAGTATATCATTTAGCTTCATTCATGATACTTTTTCTTTCCTTCTTTCCTTCCTTCTTTCCTTTCTTCCTTCCTTCTTCTTTCTTCCTTCTTTCCTTCCTTCTTTCCTTTCTTCCTTCCTTCATTCTTTTCTTCCTTCCTTGCTTGAGACTGAAGAGCTTTTCCATGATCATCTCTTAGTAAGGTTTGGTGACTGACTCTTTCAGCCAAAAGCAGTTCTCCTAAGTCTAGGTCTGCTTCTTTGGTTAATTGGTTTCCACTTCTCATGAAGTGGGGGTAGTGCCAAGAAAGGTAAAGGAAGAATGTTTTCCCTCCATTCAGATGGAAAAGCAAACTTTCCCCTCTAATCAGCTCTAATTAGCTTTTCTATCAATTTGATCTACCAAGCAGCAGATGGCAGTTCAGGTTCTGAAATGTGGATGTAACTTCTTGGACCCAGGCCCAAGGACTCTCTGATTCACTCAGAAGTCTGATCTTGACCTATCCCTGCTCTAAAGCAGGATCTATAGTAGAAATGATTTGCTTCTGTCTTGTAAGAAGCCAAAATCCACATTTCTATCTGCACTTTCAAAATCATATGCAGGATGGATTGGAGTGGACACAGAGAGACCAAATAGGAGGTCATTGCAATAGTCCAGGAAAGAAATGATCAGGACCTGAAATAAGGTGGTGGCTATACAAGAAAAGAGAAGGACTCAATGCAGAATATGTTGTGGAGGTAGAAACAATAAGATCTGGCAATTGATTGGATAGAGGATGAGGAATCACGGATAATGCAGAAATTACAGACTTGGAGACTTGGAAGGATGGTTGTACCATTAATAAAAATAAGGAAGATCAGAAGACAATTAGACTTGACTCTATTTTGGACATCATCATTAGCATCATATTAACTGGCATTTACATAGCACTTTATCTCAACTGATCTTTATAACAACCCTGTTAAGTAATTGTGGTTGTTATTATTATTCCATTTTACAGTGAGGAAACTGAGGCAAACAAAGTTCAAGGGACTTGGCCAGAGCCACACAGCTAGTAAATTTCTGATGCCTGATTTTGAACTCAGGTCTTCCTGACACCAGGTCCAGTACTCCATCTATTGTGACACCTAGCTGCCTAGGACAGTTTAAGTTTGAGGTGTTTATGGGATATTCAACTTGAAATGTCCAATAGTTATTTGGTGATTTGAAACTGGAACTTGGGAGAAACATGAGTTTGCAAAGAGATAATAATTCAAATCATGGGAACTGAGGAAGCCAAACAAGTGAAAGATTATAGAGAAATGAGAATGGACCTAGGACAGAGTCTTAGATTATGCCTTCAGTGAAGGAATGGGGTATGGATTAAGAGTCATCAAAGGACTGAGGAGTGGGCAGACAGATAGAAGGAGAGCCAAGAGAGGGCTATGTCACAAAAGAGCAGGGGGAAAAAAGATCCAGATGAAGAGAGAAAAGCCAACAATGCTAAATGTTACAGATGGGTCAAGAAGAAGGAGAACTGAGGAAAGGCCATTAGATTTGCCAGTTAAAGAAATTGAAATTCAAGTTGAGTGAGGAAACCAGACTGCAAAGGGTTGAGGAGTGAGAAGAGAGGGAATGGGGGCAATGATTGTAGACAGCCTGTTCTTGAAGTTTGTCTGAAAAGGGAGAAAAATACAACTTGAGGGCATGGAAAGGACTAGTGAAGGTTTCTTAAGGATGAAGAGGTTTGCACGTGTTTGTGGGCAGAAGGGAAGAACCAGTAGATAGGACAAGATTGGAGATGGCTGGGAGGGTGGGAAGATGAGGGAAAGGGAAATCTGTTAGAGAAGATGGGAGGGGATGGGATCAAGAATACATGGAGACAGGGCAGCTAGGTGGTGCAGTGGATAGAGCTCTGGCCTTGGAGTCAGGAGGACCTGACTTCAAATCTGGCCTCAGACACTTGACACTTACTAGCTGTGTGACTCTGGGCAAGTCACTTAACTCTGACTGCCTCAAAAAGCCAAAGGGGAAAAAAAAATATGTGGAGAGGCTTTGGCTTTGTTGAGAAGGATGGACTACCTCATTATCAGAGACTAAAGGAAGAAGGAGAGATTATGTCAATGGGGTTTTGAGATAAAGAGGAGGGGAGAAGAGGAAGTCACAGTGAATGTCCTCTGTTTTCTCAGTAAAGTAATAGAAGAGGTCATCGACTGAAAAAGTGGGGAGAGGGAGAAGGAAGTGTGGGAGCTTTGAATAGAGAAGGTTGGAACAGCTTCTACGGGGAGTGGGAATAAGAATCAATTAGGAAGTAAAAGAATTGCTTTGCCATGGTGAAGTTAAATAACATGGATTTGTAATGGACCCTGTCATGTCCATCGTGACTTCCTCCAGCTCTGTTCAGCAGCTCACGCCTGCAAAGAAATAGGGGTGGGTCCCCATAGAAGAGGCCTCTGCTCATTCTTTTCCTCATCTGTAGCTCCATGCCTGTTCCCCCCTCAATCCTGTACCCCTAGAGGCCTGACCTATATAGTGACTGCTTTACTTTTCTTCTCCTAGGTGAAGAAGTTTCACCTTCTTACTACCAGGTAAGGAGAAATTCATTTTGCTTTTCTGAAACAGACTTAGGAATGCAGACCCCACAGGCTTGTGCACCTCAGGGACACACCAGGGGATGGATATGTATATATATATTATATATATATATATATATATATATATATATATATATATATATATATATATATATAGGGTTGGCCCCCCCATGTGGCATCATCTGAAGGGCATAAAAGGAAACCCCTCTCCATTCCACCTACCAGTGAGTTTGAGAGAATTAGAAATCCACCCTTTTGCATGAAATGCTGTCCTCTCAAATTTGAGAAATGCAGAGCTTGGAAGGAGAACATCCTCAGCTGTTATCTGTCACAAATCTTCATTGAAATATTTATGGATAAAGCTTTCCTCTATAACAGCTAGCTGAGAGCAGAGCACCCTAATAAACTGGGCACCACTAGGACGGGGCAGGCCGGAGAGCTCAGCAGGGGAGGAGGAGGTGTAGTTTAGGGGGAGAAGAGGAGAAGGCATCGCCAGAGGGGGGTTGCACAGAAGCTGGAGGTGAGAGAGCACCTGAGGCAAATGTGGCCTTTTTTTTTTAACCAATTGGCAGGAAAGCCATGAAGACCACGAAAAGGAGCCACTCTATGCCCTCATCACGCACATGCCCCAACGAATGCCTTCCATAAACTCCACGGAGGATGACTATGAGAATGTTGGCCCCAAGCATAAGAGGACCAAACCGCCGGCTCCCAGGAATGAGACTGAATATGCCGTCCTGAGGGTCCCTTCTAGCCCCCAGCCTTCCCACAGCTTCCAGGACGAGGAATACGAACTTATCATGCCATTACCCATCCCACTTCAACCTGATGAATTGAAGGAACCTGAATATATAGGAATCTCTAAAAACAGAAAGTAAGGCAACTACCCATAACAATAACTATAATAACAGTAACAATCAATTCATCGAATTGGTAGAATGCTTCGTGGTTACAAAGTGCTTTCACAAACTTTCTCCTATTTGATGTTTGCAACAACTCCACATTAGGGCTGATATTGTGGGGCCCATTTTACAGATGAGGTAACAAACTCAGGGAGGCAGCATGGTGTAATATGCTATGAACCTGGAATCAGAAAAGTTTGGGTTCGTATCCCGCCTCAGACACTTATTAGCTGTGTCTGGACAAGTCTCTTAAATCTTCCTGTGCCTCAGATTCTTCATGTATAAGATGAGAAAGGTCAGATGAGATGTCCTTTAGAGTCCTTCTGGCTCTATATCTATGATGGAATGGCTGGCCCTAAAAAGCTCCCGAGGCTTGGTGCTCTTTCCACTACACCACACACTTTTGTTTGAAGCCATGAAATCCCAAGGAAGCCTTACCTGAAAGATGACATTCCCAGGCAATAACTTGGGGATCCATCTCTACAGATAGTAGAGGTCCTTCCGAACCCCTAACCTTCTTACCCAACCTTCCTCACTTGAGGGAGGGGCCTCCCTGTACAAGAAAGAGAGAGGTGGGAGGTGGGGAAGGATTCTAGGGTGATTGGTTAGTTCCGTGGTCAATCTGCCAATTTTTTTGCCTGTTTTGCCATTTTGTGGATGTGGAAACAGGAAAGAACTTTAGTAAGATTCTCAAAGATTTAATCCATTTGATGAATTCCTCCCTCTTCTCTCCCTTTCTCATTTCCTTCCTTCCTCATCAGTAATTCCTAACCCGTAATTTTAAAGCTGGAAGGATCCTTAGAGATCTACCCAGTAATTATCTTTCCAATTTATGTTTCAGTTAAGCATTTATTTTCCCTCCTTCTCAAACCCTCCCATTTAAAAGAAAAAGAAAAACAATACCCTTTAGCAAATAGATATAGTCAAGCAAAACAAATTCCTACATTGTCCATGTATAACCTTTCCTTTTACAGATGAAGAAACTGAGGCCCAGGGAATTAACATGACTTGCTTAAGCTCACACACTAGTGGAGCTGGAACTATAACTCTGTTCTCCTGACTCCTGGCCCAGCACTTTCTACACCCCATCTAGAGAATGTCTGAAGTGTGATGATATCCAAGAACCAAAAGAAAATCATGTACAGGAAAGTTTTTTAAAAACACTAATGAAAATGCTTGTATAGCTCCTGCCTACCTGATTAATCTTCTTTTATGGTAACTTAAGGTAAAATCTTCTGCCCTTAAGGTGTTTTGGAATTATGCTTGTTCTATTAATAGCAGCATCTTAGGTCAGCTTGGGATGAGAATGGAAGTATCTTGTGATATTTGCTCACATAGGCTGCTCTGAGGGTAGGAGTTGAAAGCTAGAGCAATGATAGAGATAAAATCCAATGCATCAGATGATTAAGTCCACTAACCAGAGCTTAAGGAAGAAGTAGAAAGATTCTCAGTCCTGTTGTTACACCAAACTGTCATTGAGCTGACTGACCAATTTAGGGATGATATATAGCCTGAAGGCTTTTTTTTTTTAACAAATTGGGTCATTCAGGAAGGTAGAAGGTGTGCTAGGGCCAAGTCTAACTGGTCAGCAGAGCAATTGTTAAAATTTTCAGTGTGAGCATTTACACCTCAGAAATCAGAAAATGCTAAAAATTATGGCTGATTTATTGTTTTGTCTGTTTTTAGACTTAAGTAAGTGATGGAGAAAATGTTATTAATGTCAATTAAACTTAAAAGTGTGTCATACTTATGTTTTTGTCAGAGAGGCAGTTATTAATCATTTACTAGCACACCAATAGTCCTGCTTATATTTATGTTTTTGTTGCAAAATGTAATTCATTTAAAATAATGCGCTGACTGGTAGGTCTATGTCCTAAAGATATCAAAAAGAAAAAAAAAGGAACAGTACCTATTTGTACAAAAATGTTTATGGAAGCTCTTTTTGTGGTGGCTAAGAAGTGGAAATTGAGGGGATGCCCATCAATTGAGGAATGGCTAAACAAACTGTGGCATATGATTGTGATGGAATAGTATTTTGCTATAAGAAATGACAAGCAGGATGGTTTCAGAAAAACCTGTAAAGACTCACATGAACTGATGCAAAGTGAAGTGAGCAGAAATAGGAGAACATTGTACACAGTAACAGCAATATTGTATGATGATCAGTTATTAATAACTTAGCTATTCTCAGCAATACAATAATCAAAGAGAATCCCAAAGGACTAATGATGAAGCTTACTGTCCACCTCCAGAGAAAGAATTGATATTGCTTGAACATAGACTGAAGCATGCTATTTTTCACTTTCTTTTGTTCTTTTTCTTTGAGTTTTGACAAATATGGAAATGTTTTACACGATTGCACATGTATAACATATCAGATTGCTTGCCATTTCAGGAAGGGGAAAGAGGAGGGGGGAGAAGAAGGGATACAATTTAGAACTCAAACTTTAAAAAACAAAAACAAATGTTTGGAGCCAAGATGGCAGAGTAAAGGCAGGAATTTACCTGACTTCTCCACCAAAACCCCTCCAAATACCTTTAAATAATGACTCTAAACAAATTCTATAGTGGCAGAACCCACAAAAAGATGGAGTGAAACAGTTTTCCAGCCCAAGACAATTTAGAAGGTTGGTAGGAAAGGTCTGCTGCACCAGGGTGCGAGAGGAGCGTAGTCCAGTGCAGGCCATGTCAGTGCAGACCAAGGCCCCAGCAAACCAGGAGCTGGCCTCAGGATAACTGAGTCAGTGGCAGCAGTAGTGGGTTCCAGACCTTTATGCCTACCGATGGTAAGGGAACTGGACAATGGGTCAGAAGGAGATTTACAGTTTTCTTTGCTGGGCCCAGGGGCAGGACTCTGTTGCATTGCTTCGACTTGGATCTGGGTCACAGTCCTGGGTCTTAGTCCCAGTGAGAGGAGGAGCATTAGCAGAACAAAGCTTTCAACCACAGGGGATCAGGGACCTGGTCACAGCTCCTGGGTAGAAAAGAGTGCTTATGGTTGCTCACAAACCAGTGTAACATACAAGGGAGTAGTAAATATACCTCTCCCTAAATCAAACCACCTTGGAGAAGCCACAAACTCACAGGTGCCCAGAATTACCTTTGAAAACAGCTGCACAAAAAACCTGAAGCTTGGGACAGTGCCCCCTGCACTTGGAAAGCAGAGCCCTGCTTTATCATAGAATTAAAAATCAAGAAATAGGCTAGAAAATGAGCAAATAATAGAAAAAAATTCTGACCATAGAAGGTTACTATGGTTACAAGGAAGATCAAAGCACACTCAGAAGAAGACAACAAAGTCAAAATTCTTGCATCCTAAACCTCAAAGGAAAATATGAATTGGTCTTAGGCCATGGAAGAGCTCAAAAAGAATTTTAAAAATCAAATAAGAGAAGTAGAGGAAAAACTGGGAAGAGAAATGAGAGTGATGAAAGAAAATCATGAAAAAAGAGTCAACAGATTGGTAAAAGAGACACACAAAATACTGAAAAGAACACCTTAAAAATAGAATAAACCAAATGGTAAGAGAGGCACAGAAATCCACTGAAGAGAAGAATGCCTTGAAAAGCAGAATTGAACAAATGGAAAAAGGTATACAAAAATTCACTGATAAGAACTCCTTAAAAAGTAGAATTGGCCGATTGGAAAAGAGATACAAAAGCTCACTGAAGAAAATAATTCCTTAAAAGTTAGAATTGGACAAATGAAAGCTAATGACTTTATGAGACTTCTAGAAACAAACAAAACTAAAAGAAAGAAAAAATACAAGACAATGTGAAATGTTTCATTGGAAAAACAACTGACTTGGAAAATACATTCAAGAAAGGTAATTTAAGAATTATTGGATTACCTGAAAGTCATGATCAAAAAAAAAGAGCCTAGATATCATCTTTCAACAAATTATCAAGGAAAACTGCCCTGATACTCTAGAACCAGAGGGTAAAATAGAAATTGAAAGAATCCACTAATCACCTTCTGAAAGAGATCCCAAAATGAAAACTACCAGAAATATTATAGCAACATTCCAGACTTCCCTGATCAAGGACAAAATACTGTAAGCAGTTAAAAAAAAAAACTTTTCCAATGTCATACAGCCACAGTCAGGATAACACAAGATTTATTAGCAGCTTCTACATTAAAGGGAAAGAAGGTTTACAATATGATATTCCAGAGAGCAAATGAGCTAGGGTTACAACCAAAAATCACCTACCCAGCAAAACTGAGTATAATCTTTCAGGGGGGAAATGGTTATTTGATGAAATAGAAGACTGTCAAGCATTCCTGATGAAAAGACCAGAGCTGAATAGAAAATTTGATTTTCAAATACAAGATGCAAAAGAAGCACAAAAAGGCAAGAGAAATCATAAGGGATTTGATAAGGTATAAACTGTTTACATTCCTACATGAGAAAATGATATTTATAACTTCTAAAAACTCTTATTATTAGGGCAGTTAGAAGTATATATAGATAGAAAGCAGAGATGTGAGTTGAATATGATGGTATAATTATCTAAAAAGTAAAATTAAGGAATGAGAAAGAAGAATGTACTAGGAGAAGGTGAAATGGAGAGGTAGAATGGGATAAATTATCTGACATAAAAGAGGCTTGAAAGAGATTTTACAATGGAAGGGAAAATGGGGGAAGTGGGGAGGGGAGCTCGTTTGAACTGACTCAAAGAGGGAAGAATGCACACATTCAATTGGGTGTGGAAATCTATCTTACCATACAGGAAGCTAGGAAGGGAAGGGGCTAAGAGAAGTGAGGAAAGGGGGAGAGCTGATGGAAGGGAGAGCAGTTTGGAGGAGGTAAAAGTCAGAAGCAAGACACTTTTGAGAATGGACAGGATAAAAGGAGAGTGAGAGACTAGGATAAATGGGAAAATAGGATGGAGGGAAATACGTAGTTGGTAATCACTGCTGTGAAAAAAATTACAGTAAGTTTCTCTAAGACTTCATTTCTCAAAAATATAGAAAACGGAATAAAATTTATAGAAATAAGAGACATTCCTCAATTGATAAGTGGTCAAAGGATATGAACAGGCAGTTTTCAGACAAGGTAATCAAAGCTGTCTGTAATCATATGAAAAAAGACTCTAAATCACTATTGATGAGAGAAATGCAAATTAAAACAACTCTGATTTACTACCTCACACCTGTCAGACTGGCAAACATGACAGAAAAGGAAAATAACAAATGTTGGAGGGGCGATGAGAAAATTAAAACACTAATTCACTATTGATGAAGTTGTATACTTATTCATCCATTCTGGAAAGCAATTTGGAACTATGCCCAAAGGGCCATAAAACCATGCATACCCTTTGATCTAACAATATCACTACTAGGTCTGTATCCCAAAGAGATCAAAAAACAAAAAGGAAAAGGACCTATCTGTGGAAAAATATTTGTAGCAGCTCTTTTAGTAATGGCAAAGAATTGGAAATTAAGGGGATGCCTATCAATTGGGGAATGGCTGAACAAGTTATGGTATATGAATGTAATGGAATACTATTGTGTTATAAGAAATGATGAGCAGGATGATCTCAGAAAAACATGGAAGAACTTGCATAACCTGATGCAAAGTGAAGTGAATAGAAACAGGAGAACATTGTACAGAGTAAACGTAATATTGTATGATGATCTACTATGAATAACTTAGCTATTCTCAGCAATACAATGATCCAAGACAATTCTGTAGGATTTATGATGAAAGGTGGTATCCATCTCCAGAGAAAGAACTGGTAGAGCCTGATTGCAGATCAAAAATACTTTTTCTTTATTTTCTTTCTTTTTCTTGTTTTTTTTTGTCTGTGCTTCCTTTCACAGAATGACTTACAAAATGGAAATGTGTTTTGCCTGACTTCACATGTGTAACCTATATTAAATTGCTTGCTTTCTCAGTGACAGAGGAGGGGAGGAAGGAAGAGAATTTGGAACTCAAAATATGAAAAAAAGAATGTTAAAATTGTTTTTGTGTGCAAATGGGAAAATAAAATATTAAACAAGATTAAAATAAATAAATAAAGCCAAATGTTTTAAAAAATTGTTTCAACATGTAATTGGGGGAAAATAAAATATAGATTTTTCAAAAATAAAATAATGTGCTGAACCCCCAGATAGGACCTTCAATAATTTATTAAATAGAAGAAAGTATTGAGTTAGGAATAGAACTATCAGCAGAATTACACTTCACTAAACACTAATGGACTTTGGACGGTTGGTTTATGGGCTTCAGCTGGAACCTGGGAATTTTGTGAACACAAAGGCTTGGAATCTTGTTCCTCATTCTTTTAACAACTCTTCCTAATTGATGTATGCCTTGCTTCTTTTTTAAAAATTTTATTTATTTTATTCTGAATTTAGGAAATAAAACAAACATTTCCATAAGTAGAATACAGAAAAAAAAGATGATTGTTCTTGAAACTGCAAATCTATTATGCACAACTTGATTTTCCTTTTAAATATATAGTAAAGTTATCATGTAACTTTCTTTTCTTTTTTCTTCCTTCTCCCAAGATGGCCACCATTAGGCACAAATATGTGTGTGTGTGTGTGTGTGGGGGGGTGTATGTGCGGCACTGTCTTTTGCCTGTCTTTGTATTCCCAGTGATTTAGCACAGTGCCTGACACTAAAGTGACTTCCTCAGAGGTAGTGTCAGAGCCAGGATCTAAACCT